GGTGAGGCAGAAAAGCTGTATGGGTAACCCCGCTTACAGTTGGTGAAAGTGGGCCCTGTTCCCCTTACGTACATCAAAAACTGAGTGTTCTTCCCACTATGTACAGCCTAAATTGAGCCCTGTTCCTCCTGTGTACAGCATAAATTGAGCCCTTTTTTTCCCCCCCTCATGCACAGCCTAAATTGGGCCCTGTATGAGGCTGTATCCACTGTCCATAGCCTGAATTCGGTCCCATTTCTCCTGTGGATGTTCTAAATTGTTGATTGTTGGGTCCCGTTTGTACATCCTAATTTGTGGATTATTGGGCCCTGTTCCCCCTATGTACAGCCAAAGTGATTCTGTTCCCCCTCTGTACGGCCTGAATTGGTCCTCTTCTCCCTATGCACAGCCGTTGGGCCAATCCCGCTGCCATTATGCAACGTCAAAGCCCCAGCCTCCCAGGATATATTAGGTTCATTGGGTGCAAGCATCGTGTTTTGTTCCCTATCTATCATTTGATTGTTACCCACGACAGCCAAGGGGGGATCTACCAAGCTCCCAAGTCCCAAGGAAGTCTTGGCATTTCTCAAAACACAGCCAGCAACTCTCATAATTGAGACCCATTTGTGTGTATATTGAGAGAGAGAGAGAGAGAGAGAGAGAGAGAGAGAGAGAGAGAGAGAGAGAGAGAGAGAGAGAGAGAGAGAGAGGGCCGAACTCTGTGATTTGTGAGGCCATGACATGGCCACAGGATATGTGGTGCATGAGTCTATAACATCATCATTACATGTATGTGCACTGTGGAGGGAACAGAGGGCATATATTGAGATGTGGCTTGTAATTGTTTACGAATAAAAATAAGAAGGCAAGCTCATGTCCTTCTGAACATCTGTTAAAATTGGAACGATACAGAGAAGATTAGCATGGCCCCTGCGCAAGGACGACGCACATAAGTCGAGAAATGGTCCGAACTCTAAAGGAGGGGGCAAAAAAAAAGAGGGCAAGCTCGCACTATGAATATGTAATAGGTTGATGTTTTGACCTCTGCAAAATTGCAGGAAAGATAACCCCTGTCCTTTTTGCCCTAGGGCTGGGTGTGAAATTGGTTCACGGGGACAGTTGACATTTTGCCAAGCATGCCATGCGTCCTCAAACTGGACTTTCTCTGCTGAATGTGGGCATGTCTGGGCTCAAATCCATCCAGAGAAGTTGTAGTGCCCCAGCATGTGCTGCTCTGCACGAATAGATCGGAGCCTTGGGAAAAAAAAAAGAAAAGAAAAAAAGAAGAAGAGCATGCCCTGAGACTTGATAAAGGTCTCAAAAGTCGATGATGAACTGCTACGGAGAGGGTGGACTGTAGTCGAACTTCAAATGAATTCCCATCGGACTTCAGCTTCTGCTAAGATGGGGAATAAAACCAGACTTTTGAGAGGGTTAATATGGCCCCTCCAGATTGTCCTGCAGCTGCAGTAGCTGTATTCTTCAGGTGGGGTGTAGGAACTTAACTAGGAAGCACAAAATGACAAAAAAGAAAGGACCTTCTTCTCTCTCTCTCTCTCTCTCTCTCTCTCTCTCTCTCTCTCTCTCTCTCTCTCTCTCTCTCTGTTGCCATGTTCGCTATACACAACTCCACACTGTACGCGTGTGTGTGTGTGTGTGTGTGTGTGTGTGTGTGTGTGTGTGTGTGAGGCATGCTCTTGTCTTAAGCAAGTGCAGGTTCTTTCTTTGTTTTACATGGTCGCACATAGATAGCAGCATTCAGGAATTCCATGTACACGCATCCACTCTAACAAGGGATTTATTGGGGTACTGGTGCTTCATTGCCCACCTGAAGAATACAGCTACTGCAGCTGCAGGACAATCTGGAGGGGCCATATTAACCCTCTCAAAAGTCTGGTTTTATTCCCCATCTTAGCAGAAGCTGAAGTCCGATGGGAATTCATTTGAAGTTCGACTACAATCCACCCTCTCCGTAGCAGTTCATCATCGACTTTTGAGACCTTTATCAAGTCTCAGGGCATGCTCTTCTTCTTTTTTTCTTTTCTTTTTTTTTTCCCAAGGCTCCGATCTATTCGTGCAGAGCAGCACATGCTGGGGCACTACAACTTCTCTGGATGGATTTGAGCCCAGACATGCCCACATTCAGCAGAGAAAGTCCAGTTTGAGGACGCATGGCATGCTTGGCAAAATGTCAACTGTCCCCGTGAACCAATTTCACACCCAGTCCTAGGGCAAAAAGGACAGGGGTTATCTTTCCTGCAATTTTGCAGAGGTCAAAACATCAACCTATTACATATTCATAGTGCGAGCTTGCCCTCTTTTTTTTTGCCCCCTCCTTTAGAATTCGGACCATTTCTCGACTTATGTGTGTCGTCCTTGCGCAGGGGCCATGCTAATCTTCTCTGTATCGTTCCAATTTTAACAGATGTTCAGAGAGAGAGAGAGAGAGAGAGAGAGAGAGAGAGAGAGAGAGAGAGCCAAAGCGGGGATAACCAGGGCAACCATTGATGCCACAGAGAGA